GATTATCTCTTATTTATCAGCAGGAACTCTTTATCAGGCATGCATTGGACCAGGTGACCACTGAGGTCCCAGCCCTAAAAGCTGTGATTCTGTCTCCAAAAATTTAATGTCATGAATACAGGCTGGAGGGGTGTTGCCCAATAACAGTCTGCGAAAAAAGGCTGCTGGTGGATTGAAAGTCTAATGCAAATCAACCGCGTGATCTGGAAACCAAAAAGCAAGGAGATTGTGGACTGCATTGGTGTGAGCCTGGTGTCCAGAAAGAGGGAGGTGGCCATCTTGGTCTGCCCTCTCCAGAGCATTGGGCTCAGTTCTGGGTGCCACACTTGGGTGATGAGGATGGGAAGGACGGGGGAGGCACTCTGCAAGGGTCCATGGAAGAAACTTGGGGTGCTGAGCCTGGTGAAGGACAGGCTGGCTGTCTTCAAATACTTCAAGTGCTGTCATAAGCAAGAGCTGCATCTTGATCTGCTTGGCCCAGGGGTAGGAACTATGTGAAGTCACATTCCGGCTCAAAATCTCGAAGAGTTTTCTAGCAGTTGAAATTGCCCCAACCAGCCTTGGCTGTCTTGGGAGACAGGGAGCACGTGACTGCTACTACAGAGGTTCAGGGGGGTGAAGGTCCTCCTTCTCTCCTTTCCCTGCATGGGCCACATCCTCTCACCCAGGAGAGGAGTCCCTGCTGCCTCTCCAGATGTTGTTTTCCCTTTTTCTCTTAGAAACGCCTTTTCTGTCCTTCAAGAAGCATCCATCCTTCTTGCTGATGACCTGAAGAGTGCACAGTGCCTTCCAGCAGCCTCTCCTCCAAGGGAGACACTGACCTGCTCCTTACAGCCCTTTCTTTTCAGCCCCACCCCCACCTCACCTTCCTAGAGGCACAATGCCCCGGCCTCGATCATCCTGGGAGATGGTGGCCATGGCGGTGCCCGGGGCGCAGGCTCCTGAGAAGTATTTCTTTGTTTCGAGCCCCTTGCCTCTTGTGGGTTATTTGTAAGTTTCTATCAATGCCCTGGTGTGAACTGGAGCTCTCCTGTACTTATCTGCCAGAGGGTCTCAAGCAGGAATGTCACTACCAGTCGCTTCACATGTCCTCCTCTTCTCTTCTTCCCCACCAAGCCTCAGGCGCCTCCCCTCATCTTTCCACCAATGGGAAACTTCACAGTTTAACAAAGCTACTCATTCTGTTTTTGGATAGACTTTTACCAATTTATCAAGTCCCTTCTAATTCCCACCCACTTTTCTGGATTCAGCCACACAGAGGGCAGGAAGATGTCACTGTTTGTCCATTTGGTCTGAGGCCAACTTGAAAGAAGATCAAAAAGACATTTGCCCAAGTAGATCAGTAGGCAGGGCCAAGGCTTGAACCCAAGCCCTATCGGCTTGAAATGCTGTGCTCTTCTCTCAAGTCTTAATTTTACAGATGGAGAAACTGAGGCGGAAAAGTAAAGTGATTGTCCCAGAGTCATAGAGCTAAAAAGTGTAGGAAGCAGGAAGGAAAGGGAACAATAATTAAATGAAGCATATGAGCCAGGCACTGTGCTGGCTGTACCAAGAGCTTTACAAATATGGTCTTATTTGATCCCTAGGTGGCAGATGCTATTATTTATTTTACAGTTGAGGAAACTGAGTCAGGCTGAAATGAAGTAACTTCAGGGCTGTCACACTGAGGAAGGGTTCAATTTGCTCCACTTGGCAGAACTAGGTGCCATCAGTGAGAAAGGTCCTCCTTGCATCTTTCCTCCACACCTACATTGGTCCTAGCATGTGAGCATGCATCTCCCACCTATGGCCCCACTCATTCTCCTAGCAAGCTTCCAAAACAAAAGCCCCCTTCCCCTGACCTGCTGTTTGTTAGCCAAGCCAGGGGCTGCCTTTTCTTGGCGGTGCCCATGTCAGGGCTCACCACGGTGTCTGGCACGTAGGAGGTTCTCAGTCAAGAGGCTTTTCTTCATCCATCCATTTATTTGTTCATGTTGCTGACTCTGAGATTTTGTGACCACCTTTGTTCTCTGATGAGGAGTCTATCAAGGGAGGGCCTTAACACGGGAAGAAGATGGAGGCTTTTCACAAAAGGCTAGAAGGCACCTGGCAGTGATTATCTCCATCAGGGCAGTGAGGGAGAGAGAGCAGGGACAGCTGGAGGTAGGCTTAGACACACAGTGAAATGGGGCAGTCAAAGGCTCGGCCTCATGGTGCGTGGAATGGGAAGAGGGGCCCTCAGCAACAGGAACCTGGGCCAGAAGAACTGCAAGAATCAGTCTTCAGAGGATGCAAAGCCAAGCCCAGGAGAGCTCCTCAGGAAGAAAACCCCTACCCTGGGGTAGGTTTGTGCCCTGGGACAAAGCTCTGACGGCCCACTGCTAGTTACACTCTGAAGACCTGAGGGAAAGCTTAGCCCACACTCAGCCCAATCTAGCAGATGGGTCTTAGAGCCTGACCCAGTAAAGAAAGGCAAAAAATGATCCAAGTCAGCCCTGATGGAGAAATGGGTGTGCCATGATGCCCTGGTGGAGCCACCGATCAAGCCAGTCTTCATCAGACCGTGACCAGTTATCCTATAATAGGAGCTGCAGAGCTGGTCATCCCTTTTCCTGCAGGAATTTCACCCTAGGACCACATCTGAGGGTATCACGGAGAAAAAAGACCAATCTAAATAGAAATATGTACAGTATTTTAGAGGCAGCTAGGTGGTGCCATAGTGCATAGAGCAGCAGGTCTAGAGTCAGGAAGACCCAAGTTCAAATTTGACCTCACACACTTACTAGCCGTGTGACCCTAGGTAAGTCACTTATCCCTGTTTGCCTCCTATCCTCATGCGTAAAATGATCTGGAAAAGGACATGGCAGACCACTCCTGTGTCTCTGCCAGGAATACCCCAGACAGGCTTAAGAAGAGACAGACGCGACTAATATAGCAGCAGCAGTAGCAGCATCTTTGCCCGTGAGAGAAAAAAAAAAAGAAACAATTCAGTTTTATCCAAGAAGCGAATTGGGGCTGACGTGACTCTGGCATATCTTTCCCCCTTCCCCAGCATCCGCACCAGCACTTGGGAGTCCCTGAACCAAATCTCCCCCCAATAGAATATAAACTCCCTGAGGATATCCCTGTGGACATCTTTGCATCCAAAGAGCTTAGCAAATGCCTGGCACACAACTAGTGGTTAACCAAGACCTTTTCATTCATTCCTTCACAAGAACCGATGAGTATGAAGGCTCTCAATTCAGCTGAGAAGACACGGGAAGGGTATGGAGTGAGAAAAGGCAGATCAGGAAAGGTCTCTGCACTCTCAGACCATGACGGGAGCGATCGAGGCAAGAACCTGGGACAGCGCCCAGAGGAAAGGGCCTCTGGTTAAAGCCAGGACTGGCCTTTCTCTGAACAGATTGCAAAGGATCGGTGTTTATGGGCTCATAGATGGTGGTTTTCATTTGAGGTTCTGCTTTTGCTGATTAAGTTGAGAATAAACAATTTTCCAAAAAGAAAACTCCTCCATAACACCAAGGTTTTTGTTTCAGGGTAAATCAGACCATCGGTGTGTGGTAGGGACGGTTTGGCCTTGAGGCCATGGGGCAGGCACCATTTCCAAGCCTCACTGGGGTCACAGAGGCTTGGCCTGCTCACTAAACATCCTGCCCCCTGGGCTGATTCTGCCGTGGCGTCCCTCTACTCTGTCCATGCTGGGCGCCCCAAGGCGCTCCCAGGTGTGTGTGTGGGGGCACGCCTAAAGCATGGGAAGCCAGACTAACCTGCTGCCTGCTTCCCCCCCCCCCCCCCACGGCTGTAGCTCCTTCTCTACTCAGATGTCATCTGCATCCTGCGCATCCAGACACGTCCACAAAGGACCAAAAAGGCATCAGTTCAATGTTTTTTGTCTTGTTTTGGTTTGGGGGGTTTTGACAAATGTTATAAAGCTCCCTCCTGGCCTCAGTGATCCCGGCAGAGAGCCCCGCAGCTGGCGTGGTCTCAGAGCGGGGGAGCATCTCCCGCCTCAGCGCCGCCGCCGTTAATGAAGTGCTGGCCACTGGTGTAACTCCAGCAGCGCTAAGCCCTGATGAGCTGCAAACACTTTAAACAAAAGGTCTCTTAAGCATCAAAATATTGAAGCTCGTACTGTCACAAGGAACACTTGTTGCTGTGGAGAAAGCCTGCTCCCAAGCTCGAAGCCAGCTCTCCAGCGAGGCGTGGCCCCAGCTCTGAGGCACGTCACAGGCATAGGCCAGAGCCGTCCGTCTGTCCGTCCGTCCGTCTGTCCATCCCTCCCTCCTGCCCCTCCATCGGCCCCTCCATCCACCACTCCATCCGTCCGTCCGTCCGTCTGTCCGTCCCTCCCTCATCCCTCCATCTGTCACTCCATCTGTCTCTCCTTCTATCCCTCTGTCTGTTCCTCCTTCTGCACTTCCATCCATCTGTCCTTCCATAACTCCATCCTTTGCTCTTGCCATCTGGCCTGGGCACACACAGGACAGAGGGGGGAGGGAAGGTGACTGCACTTAGCCTGGAACAGAACATCCCCCCCCCCTGGGCCCCCCCGGGTGCAGGCCCCGGCATCCCTGTGCCTCTCGGCAGGTATTAACAACAATGACAGTTAGCAGGACTGGAGTCCTTTAAGACTGGCAAAGCATTCTACCTTTATCTCATGGGACCCTCATGACAATCTTTGCAGAGAGGAAATATTATTGTCCCCTCCTTACAACGGAGGAAACTGAGGCTGAGGGAGGGTCTGGAGGGTCACAGTCCAGTAAGTGCCTGAGGCAGGATTCAAACTCAGGTCTTCCTGACATCACAGTTAGCAGGTGCCTCCCCAGCTCTGGGCCAACTGCAGGAGCTCGCCAAGCCTGGGACCAGCTCCCAGCCATCACCGGACCCCCAAAACTAATGGGATCTGTGGGCGTGTAGAGGCAAGTGTGTGCCGGAGGGCTGGACCCCCATGTGGAAGTGAGCCTCCCAAATGGCTTCCCCAGACAAGCCTGCGGCTTGGACCCGCGCCCCCCATCACTCACCTCTGGCGTCAAAGAATTCATCATCTGAACTCTCCACAGCGGAACTCATGATGTCACGTACATGCCACTGGGCCCCAGCACAGGGAAGGGAGCCGGCTAGAAGTGGGAGAGGGGCGTGTCAGGCAGGACCTCTCCAAGGTCTACCTGGAGGACATCACCCCCTAAGGCCATTCTCTCATCCCTTGGCTGAGTCAGGAGGGCACAGCCAGAAATGATAACACTGGTGCTCCTCCCCTCCTCCCCCTTCTCTCTCCTCCTCCCCCCTCCTTCCTCTCCTTCCCACTCCCTCCTCCTCCTCTTCCTCCCCCATTACTTCTCCTCCACATTCACTCACACAAACTGAGGACTGCTCAAAAAGCCATATGCCAAGGTCAGTCCCACGTGACAGACAGAAATTGTGACCCAGAGAGGTGAAGAGACTTGTTCAAAGTCACAAGGGCCAGAGCAGAATTCAAACTCAGAACCTCCTCCCTCTCTGCTTCAGGACCACAGAGCTAAAGCTGGAGGGGGTGCTAGAGGGCCCTTGGAAGCTCAGAGTGGCTCCCACAGCTAGCAAGTGGCAGAACTCGGGGCTCATTCCACTGCCCCACACTGCCTCCCAGAGGCCAGACAACCCAGCAGGAGGACAAATCCGGCCTCCAACACCTCAGTTTCCTCATCTGTGGAATGGGATCCTCACAGGGTTGTGGAGATGACAGATATCACATGAGCAGCCAACCTCAGAGGCTACACCTGAGCTCTCCTCATCCCTAAGAAGCAGCAGTGTTGCCCAGTGGTTAGAGAGCCGGCTAACCCAGGCTCACATGCTACCTCACAGGCATCCCAGCTGCACCCCAGGCCACTCGCTGGGACTGCCTTAGAGGAAGGCACGCCTCATGTGGGAGGGAAGGAGGGGAGAAGGGAAGGGACCGATATTATCTCATCAGTCTGAGCCCAGAGCACAAACCACCCCCGCTCTTACATGGGGGCTCAGCTCTCTAGGCCTGGAACTGGCCTCTGTCCTGGCCATAGGAAGCACCCCCTCCCATGAGAGCATCCCAGGCAGCCTCTGCCTGGTGACCCCCGCAGGACACAGCTGGACACCGCTGGACTCCCTGGCCTTAGCCCCGTGGCCTGGGGCATCCACACTGCCACCCTCAGCATCGCACCCCACTAGCCATCATTTGGAGGAGGCAGCGATCACAAGAGGATCAGTCACTAGCCTTACCCCAGGGCCCTTTGCCCGTTGCCTCCCCATGGCACCGTGGGGCACAGAATCTCACCAGGATTGAGCACCAGGCAGGCGGGCAGGCCCACACCCCCCCCCAGGGCATCTGTGCAGCCCCTTTCTAGGCCCTGGGTGAGTAATGCCCTGTAATTATGGAGCTATTTTTAAAGTTGTGACGAATGAGGGTGAAGAGATTTCCAGGCAGCTGGTGTACCCCGGCACAATGGGATGCCACAAGTCCATCTGTCCGTCTGTCGCTCCCCTCCCTCCCTCTGGCCCCCGGAAGCCCCCCAGAGGCCATGCAGAGTTCCCAGTCCACCACCCTGCCAAAGTACCTGCCAGGCGTGCCAACAACTGGGCTGGCCACAGGGGACACAAAGACCTGACAAAGCTCCATTAGAGGTCAGTCTCACAGAAGCCAGCCCCCTGAGGCAGGCTGGCTCCATCTTTTCCTCAGTTTCCTTGTAACATTCTACTGTGTTATCATCCATTGGTGATGGATTAATTGACTAATTGCCTGGCATACACTGGTCCCTGCAAGCCTAATGAGTGGGTCTAGAGGCCTGGGTCGTCAGGAGCAATCCTGGGATTCCTCAGCCCCCACCCCATAGTCATACAAATCTCTCCACTGCCCTGTCCCAGGGTTGGGTCCCCAGCCCATCTTCCTATAGAGGCCTCACCTGAGTCACTGACAACAATGGTGCCCCCCAGAGCCAAGGACAGATCCTGGGGCACTTCACTCCAGACCTCCCCCAGCTGGTAACCCATTAGCCTTGCTTCCCCTGCTGGGCTCTCCACCCAGGATTCAGACAGCTCCGAATCTGCCTGTCCATCTGGCCTGAGAGACCAGCTTGTGGCCCAAGTGGACTCCACGTGGACGTGGAGTCCATCCACGCAGGATGGACTCCTGCGTGTCCATCGGGGGAGGCTCTGGGCGTGGTATCCCACGTCCACAGCATTCCCCTGGCCTGCGGCACCTCCTGTGGAAGGAGTGGATGCCCACTTCCTCTCCCACTTCTAATTACAACTCCTTGCCAACGATCTCTCCATCCTCACCCTCCCTTCTTGGATGTGCTCTTGGGGAGACCTCTCCTGTCTCCCAGAATGTCAGGGTGGGGACCACTTCCTGGTTGTCTGTGTTTCCACTGCCCAGTACAGTGTCTGGCACATAGTAGGAACCTGGGAGTTGTGTGCAGTGGAGAAGCCTCTGACAAGCTGGAGAGGCCCCAAAAAGGACGGGCAGGCTGGTTCAGGCCCTCTGGTCCACGAGACACGGGGAAACACGAGAGCAGACTCATAAGATGTGACTGCTGTTTTCTAAGTAAGTGAAGGGCTGTTGTGGGGGGGGCGGGGGGGTGCTTAGCCTGCCTTGCCCTGCTCAGTCCCAGAGGGCAGAACAAGGGGCAGTGGTGTAGAGGGCGGCAGAGAGGCAACCGAGATGGGGGAAGGAAAGCCCCACTGACCCCGCCCCAGAACCTTGGAGCATAGAATGGGTGGCCGGGGGGGGGGGGGGGAAGGGCGGAGCAGCCCAGCGAGGCCTGGACAGGGGCACAGGGGTGGCCTGGACTGATGCCACATTTATCACTAAGAATCTGTGATCTCATCCATCCTGATGGAAAGCCATTCCTTTGAGGAGAGCCCACTGAAATTCAGGGTCTGCTGTGCCGTAGTTCCTCAGTCCTGAGATCCCTGGCCACAAGGCCCCGGCCAAGGCTTGAGTGAAGGGGTTACTCTCCAGAGCCACTTCAAGCCCAGAAGAGAAGGCCAGGCCTTGATGCAGTCATGGTCAGGAAGAGCAATGATCCTGCATGCTGAGGAGGCTGGGGACAGCCACATGCCAACCTCAGGCTGCCCTGTGGAGGACCGGCAGCACTGGCTTCCCTGGGAGCTCGAAGGGCCTTTCCAACGCCCACCCCTCTATCTGTTCTTGTTGAAACCCTCCCCCCCCCTCCATTGCCCAGGTCCAGCACTGCCTCAGCTGGGAAGCCTCCAGGACTGTCGCAGCCAAAAGTGACCCTGGAGCTCCTCTGTCTGTCTCTCTATCTCTGTCTCTCTCATGAGGAGCCACATTCTGGCAGTTATCTGGGCATGGATATATCTAGTAAATGAGAAACTCCCAGAGGACCCCATTCCCCATCCCCCTAGCCCAGCAGCCTCCCCCAGTGAGTTCAATCAGCGTTCTAGGCATGAACCAATGAGATGATTTCCATAGGGCCGACCGTGGTCCAGAGCCCCATCTGTCCTGTGGGGCGGAGGAGTCCAAAGAAAGTAGTCTTGCTTCTCTGCCTGCCAAGCGCCAAGCTAGCTCCCACCGGGCATGCCTAGATCAAGGACTGGTACCCTCCACTCACCAAAAGAAGCGCAGACGCCCCAGCAGTCTGAGCCGCTTGCCCAAGCCAGAGCAGAAGAAATCCACAATCCAGCATGTCACTCAGTCAGCTGCCCTGCCTGCTGAAAGTAACTCGGCCATGCAGGGCCTGCCACTGGGGCCAGGAGCAGCCTGCAGCTCAGTCTGTTTGCAGAAGGAGCCTCTGTTGGCTGAATTCACTTGGGATTTCTCCAGCAACGACTCAACAAAAGGGTGGAGAGTAAAGGACTTGGGTGAAGGGAAAATGGGGGCCAAGTGCTGAGGACATACAAATCCAAGGACAGAGGTAGAGGGGGTCAAATTCGGGACCTCAAGCATCTAGATGCACGTGCCCCAAGCAAGCGTGGTCTGCACACAGGGAGGCCCATTGGACCTCACAGAGACCACAGACACTGATGGCTCTGGATGGACGAAGCAGGATCGGTTAAAGAGGGGATGGGGTGGGCATGGTAACAGTCTATTCACCATCATGTCTAGGAACCCAAGAGAGGGAGGAAGGAAGGAAACATGAAAGCTTATTTGTACAGCTAAGTAGCACAGTGGATAGAGCACCAGGCTGGGAGTCAGGAAGGCCTGGGTTCAAATGCAACCTCACACACTTACTAGCTGTGTGACCCTGGGCAAGTCACTTATCCCTGTTTGCCTCAGTTTCCTCATCTGTAACATGAGCTGGAGAAGGAAACGGCAAACCACTTCAAGAAAATCCCGAATAGGGGCACGGAGTCAGACACAATTGAAATGATTGAACATCAAAAACATTTGGGTAACAGTCAGGTGAGGGAGAGACAGAAATGATCTGGTGATCAGAGTAGACTCCAGACCACCTAAAAGGAAGGAAAAGCTAGAGCAGGAACTTAGGGGAGCCAACACAGAGGCGTGAGGTAGCAGGGCTGTGCATAGATGGTCTGTTCAGCAAGCTGAGAGAGGCCACCAAGGCAGGACAGAGAGCTGACCCACAGAATCCAACAGGCGGGGATGGCTGGAGCACCACGCCCCCTCCGACAGGACAGCCCAGTGTAAAGGGCTGCTGGGTTCAGCAAGCAGCTGTGATGGCACAAGGTCGGGGTGGGGTTCACCGCCATGCCGGAGGAGGCCATAGAAGCCAAGAGCATCTCAGGCTGCACTGAGAGAGGTCCAGCCCCTGACAAGAAGAGGGAAGGGATGGGTCCTTTGTCCTCTGCCCTGCCAGACCCCAGAGATGGAGGATCAGGCTTTTTTCTGGGCTCCGCTTTTTGGTAAGAGCATCGATGAGCCTGAGGGGGCCCAGAAGTGGATGACCAGGCTAGGAAAGGGCCCCAAGTCCATGTCATGTGGGAGACGTGAAAAGACCCCGTGTCAAAGGAGACCCTTGAGTGAGGAGGGAAGGCGTTCGGGGCATGGAGATGAGATATCAAGAGCCTGTGTGAGGAAGGAGGCTAGTTTGATTGCAGAGGAAGGAGGGAGATATAAATTTGTTATGTACCTACTGTGCACTTGGGAGCATGCTAAGCACTTTTTACAAATGTTATTTTGCTGGATCCT